TATTTTTGTGGATTATATTGATTATAAGCTCCTAAACTTCCGTGTTTTTTGTTTTCTAATGTTTATGATGGGAGTTTTTGTTTTGGTGCTTTGATCAAAAAGAGTTAAAGTTATTTATAATAGGCAAAATCTTAAAGATAATTTTACCAGTTGACCGGATTTAGGTCGATTTTGTTAAGCTTTAAATGAATAAAATGCCAACTGAAGTGACACGTCTCACTCTCCTTTATTTTTGCACCATTTTCAGATGGATGTTGTGTTAAGAAGATGTGCTTAACTACACTTAAATACACTGTTGAGGTAGTTTTACCTCAACTTTGACCTCACCACATTGTAGAGGGAATTATTGTATTTTGATTCCACTACATTTATCTGCCAGTTGTTGCTTTTAAAGTAAAGAAATTTTACATTAGAAAACACAATAAACGTATAAAATACAAAACAAAATCTGTTACCTTGTAATGTTTCAGATATCTGTCATTTGTTCGCTGTAACACCAAACAGACATTTCCCCTCTAAACTTATTACATCTAAATAATTCTTTAAGGCCTAAAGGGGTAAAATTATCCCAAATTACCATTTTTAACATTGTTCTGTTGCTACTTTTACTCAAGTAAATGTGCTGGTATTAGTTCCCTAAAGCTGCTTTAAGAATAAATCCTACCAATGTTGTCTTCACAAAAGAAATACAGTTCAATAAATAAAAGAAGTGTGTTTCAGGACTTTTTCTTTAGTGTTTAATAACAAAGAAATAAGGGATGATCCCTTTGGAAGCTTCCAAATGCATCACCTTTCCCCCTGTTAAATGCAAACCCTTGAGTAGTTAAGAGTATAATAGAGGTTTGATGAAATGCAGAAAGAGGGTTTTTACCTTTCAATGGACATTATTGGAATCACAATAGTTCATTGTTATTGGTTGTGCTGAGAAGTCACACAAATCTGAGTTGCTCCAAGCTGCTTGAAGAGTGCACAATCTGCTGCTGACCTTCAGTTTTTTTGTTTGCTTGTTTTTTTTTTTTTTATCATCTGTTAAAATCCTGTAAATTGTCACAAACATGAGTGTGATACATTATGGTAGCTGGCCAGCAGAGGGAACTAGCAAACTAAATACTGTACTACATGTACAGTGACATTTAACTGTAAGAGGAAGCATGCACCAACCACAAGTTCCCCATCACTTTTTCTGTTTTTTAAAAATTATGCAACCCTCTGACTTTCAGAGAGGAGAGGGGATGTATGCAGCAGCTTATTGGTAGTTTCAACATCTATAGTTATTTAACTGTGAAATCTCTTTTTCTGCATGCTGACGCTGCTGTATATTCAACTTGGTTTAAAAGTCCTCAGACAGGGATGGTGTTCACTTAAATAAAAGGTGTGTTTGATTTGAGCCTCCAACTGACCAACAAACAGACAACTTATCACTCTAATATCAGACTATCTGTGTCTCCACGTCTCTGGGCACACTGTGGGAGTGGGAGCGCTCAGTCATGACCCCCAGCCCTCCACACAAAGCCAGTGGTGGGGCTAGTTCCTCTGCATATGGAAGTAAGGTGGGGGCTGGGGGGACGCAGGGAGGTTGTAGACTTCACATTGTCCCATGGGGTTAGATAAAAGCTTACAGCTCTCCTTGTCAGACCTCCCCCTCCTCTTCAAGCTCTATGCTCTCTGCACAAATGATAGTTAAAGATCTGTGCGCTGAAATCAGAGCAGGTATCACTTGCAAAAGCAGTTTAGGACTTTATATGGTAGTCTATTGTTTGGGATAAAGATAAAGGAAATGCAGTCATGCCTATGGGCACTGTAGCAACACATGCGGGTATGAAATCATTTTGTTATTTCTGCACTATTAAACTGTGCAAAGAAAAGACTCCGCAGACACATGCACGTACATGCTAGTAGCGCTTGTGATATTCAAGGAATCTTGTGAAATCCAAAACATCCCCTCTGATGCAGCCCCACTTCTTCCCATTTTCTCTAAAGTGGCCTACCATATCCAAGCCCCTCCCACAACAGGGGCCATGTGCCTGGGGGTTTCTGTTTTTGTTCTTCCTATAGAAACCCGGCCACCATTGTCTTCATGTGACCCCGAGGTCAACTGAACTCACCTCGTCCAACCACAGCCCGTTCAGCTGTGAAGCTTCACGTAGGACAAAAACATCTCACAAGAGCAAGGATCACTTCAAGCGAGGGGGTGGGAAGACACACACACACAGGCAGCGAACACGCTATGCAGTGTTTCACAGTCATAAGCTAATTTGTGTTATATTGTTTTTTCACAATGTAGCGAAGACATTAGAGCCATGTACGAGTAGTTCAAAGTGATTAAAAAACCTCAATGAACTAGTGGAATGAACACAATGTGGTTTAGTTCATTGTACAGTCAGGATGTGTTTCCTTATTGAAAACATTAAGAGAGGTTTAAATTGGCCAAGACACGTTGGTCTATTAAAGAAGTCAATTATAGAAAGTAGTAATGAAGTTATCTTTGACACATTTTCTAATTCTCCCTCAGATATTTTAAATACTCTTGCTAGAGGGGAAATTGCATTTTGCTGCAGGTTAAGAATGAGGCCATCAACGCCTGTCATCTGCCGCTCTTTATTAAAGTTTATATATCGGGCTGCAGGCCAAAAAAAAGTAGTGCACTCTGGAAAAAGTGCACCATGTTTTCCTGCAAAAAATAAGTGTATTAATAATAGTACTAATTTTAAAAAAGCCACTTTATTCGAGTTTTCTGTGTAGAAGCTGTTTCATTTTAGCTGAATAGTTTTGTTCTTTGATGCACATGAGCACATGTGCTGAAGATCCTGCAGTCTGGCTTCTTGCTTTCAGAGGCAACAGTGTCCCTGGTGGAGAGAAAGCTCATAGAAGCTGACAGGTTGAAAATGTGCGGCATGATGTGGCTGAAGGAGCATGAAACATGTTCACCCATGGATGCTGTGCACAGGGCCACAGGAGAGACTGTGAGACGATCAACTGCTGAGTGTTTGTAATGCAAAAAAAGAGGGGGAAAAGGATTTTTATTACCTTTACCTTTACAGATGGTTTAATAGATTGTAGGCAGATTACACAAATGTGTTAATCTGTAAGGATGACACTGCAGCTGTTGGTGATAGAGAGGTTCAGTGAAAGTTGTAAAAGATCCAGTCTGAGATTTTTATACACAGACTGGCCTTATTGTATCCTGTGTCTAATGGTACAATATTACTATTATGACAATAAATATATGAACTTGAATGAAGTTACAAAATATACTTCAGAACTATCCACTTTGACACAAACCAAATCAAACTGCGTTTTGCATTATGACATTTTTTGTCCATTCAACCTAATGGTGAAAACCTCATCATGGTGCTGTTCACTGCAGAATGACAGTCCCTATCCCATGAGCACCATTAAGTAATGACGGATCACGCTTCTCTGAGCAGAATCTACCCACCCAAAATCATTCAGAAAACCGTTTTGAGTTTAAAGTTAGTTTCACAACAACCACAGATAAAATAAAATTAATAAAAGTCCTTTAAGTATAATACAGAGGCGATCATTTCTGAATACAGCCACAACGGTTTTAACAGTAGTTGTATGCAAATACTGGTGCTGCTTGCTTGAAGTCATCGTGTAGGCCAACTGTGCTGCTTAGTAATTTTGTAACCAGAAGGAAAGCTGAAAGCGTGTGCTGTGATTTATCTGCAGTCTATCCTGATTCAAACTTTCCTCTGACCAGTTTATTCTTTTCATTTTCTTCCATGACTTTCAGTGTTGCTCTCGTCTTTTGGAAAGCAGAGGGAAGAGACGGACTGAAGAAGAGACTACTGAGGAGTTGTTGTCCAGTATTTTAAACTTTCACACCTTTAACAATACATTTCTATGGAGACATCTTTGTGTATTTAACATGCTGTTTAAAATAATTCAGTTAAAATAGAAGGTGACACAGTATTAAATGTATAAATTAATGCAGCCTGGAGCAGAACAAATTAAGGGTGAAATCCCTTGAAATGGTTTTACTTTAATGAAAGCCACAAAGTCATAATTTTCATTTCACTGAACAGCATTTCAAACAAAGTTTACACAATTAAATTGTGATAAATTCACATTTAATAAGTGCTGGTAAATGTAGTGTGTTGGAGTGCAATTTTTTTAAGATTCCTCAATAAACTAAATAAGATGCACACTTACTGTACAAGTGAAGCTGCCATGTGCAGTGGCAGTAAGAAATAATAGATTTATTTTCTTTGAAAAAAAAATCATGAACAAACTGGCATTTGCCCATGGTGGAGGAAGTATTCAGACACTTTAAAAATAAATACTCCATTACACATAAAAGTCCTGAATTCAAAATGTTACTTGAGTAAAAACTATGCAAGTATTATCAGGAAAATTACTTAAAGTACTTCAAAAGTAACAGGTAAAATGACTCATTACAGAAAAAACGAGTATATAAGTGTCAAATACTACTATTTTCATTATGGATTAATTTTTGGATTGGATTAATCCCAATTATTTTCTTTATAATCTGTTTCTTTTTTGGATTGTAAAAGTTAAGAAACTAGTGAGAAATGCATCATTGTTTTGTCCAACCAACAGTTCAAACCTCTAAATGGTTTAGTTTACTGTAATTTAAGATGTGGAAAACCAGCAAATCACCATATTTGAAAAGCTGAAACTATGAAATGTTCAGCTATGTCAGTTTTCGAAGCACTGACTTATGAACTAACCAATTAAGGTCAAATTTGATAAACTGTTGAGTAATTTAGTCATTATATTTTTAAAGGTCTTTAAAAATGTCTGTGTAAAATTTGGAATTGTAAAGTAACTATGGCTGTCAGATAAATGTAGAGGAGCAAGAAGTACAATATGTTTCTCTGAAATGTAATGGAGCAGACGTATAAATTGTCTGGACTTGAGTAAAGTACAGAATCCTCAAAATTGTACTTGAGTACAGTACCTTAGTAATGTACAAACCACCACTGGAATTTGCTGCACATTTCCAAACCATCAACTGAATGATGTGTTATGACACATCAATTTCCTCTCTGATTGTCTCTTCAATATAACAAGAAAACATAACAGTCAAACAGGATTTTTGTGCACTCGGTGCAGTGTGACAAGAGGATAAGACTGACGTTTGTCTTTTCTTCACACCACCCACAAACTTTAAAGCAAAAGCAATGGAAGTGTTGTGTCACTGGCTGCGGCCTGGGTGTCCCCGACAGTTCAAATTTAGGATTTCCTGCAACAGACTGGCATGAGAGCAGTGAATATTAGACTTTGTAGTAGATATTGGTGGGACTCTGGGGCATTATCTCTTGAACTATGTAAACAGGGGGCCCGTAGTCACTGCTCACACGCTCATAATGACGACAGATCATGCTGTCAGAAGCCCGCAGAGGAAAGACAACGTCGCTGCGGTCGGAGCCGTTGTTGTCGCTGCTGATGCTGTCCCGCTTCGGCACAGCCAAAGTGTTGAGGGACACAGAGGCAGACTGCTGGCTATCTGGGACACAGCGGCTGCGATGGTACCTCCACAGCACGGCCAGTAGAATTATGATGACCAGAAGGAGGATCACACAGCCAGAGACAACCCACATGAACAGTCCTGGCTCAGGGCCACCGCTGCCACTGGGGTTTGTTTGTCCTGTTTCTGAAACATTGAAACAGAGGAGAGTCATAAAAAGGAGAAACTGAGATGAAAGAGTAAAGCAGGACATGTGACACAGAGATTTAAAAACACTCACAGTTTATGCCCTGGTGCGGCCTGATCAGTAAGATAAAAAACCTCAGTGAAAGCTGGACACTGGAGATTATGCTCTAATATTTAGGATCTTACTGGTAAACAGCCTGGTGTCTTTCTGTGTCACTGAATGGGCCAATGAGTCAAAATCAGGGAAGGTTTGAGCAAGCACAAGCACTGTGTCAGAAAATCTATAATTCATTCTAATTAGTATACCAAAAAAATCTACATATTTTACCATTTTAAACTAAAAGGAAATTATATAATATGTGTGACCTTGGTGGTCAATCCAACTGCATCTCTGGAAAGTAATTAAACTTCACAAACAGACATCAAAATGTTTTTCCCAAGACTAAATACTTGCTTTCTTTGGAGCTTTTTCGCCACCAAGAACAATTTATTTTAATTATTTTCAGCTGTGAGCTGCTCCTTCATTTCCTTTTGTGCATTGCATTGTGGGAGAACAGTGTTCATCAAAAGCTCACGCAAAATTCGACCATTTTGTTGTCAGTATACTTTATTGTGTCATTATATACTGAAAGTCTGCTTGGAATAAGACTGTAGTGTCTGTGATTGTTTTTTATTACTTATAGGCGAGGGTACAATTCATATCAATTTTAAATTATTTTAGAGTTGTTTGAGGAGCCCATTTTCATCAGTGGTGATTCATAGGATGCCTACTGATGAAGAGCTAGTTGAAAATCGTTCCCTTTCTGGAGCAAAGCAAAAGGACTTTATTGTGTTTTCGGATGTTTGTTGACCTCAAGCATACTTTAAAGGATTGTATTGTTCCTGTAGGAAAACTCAGTCATTAAGTTCATCAGTAAAGCTAAATGATACGTAAGGTGATATTAAATTTTTTTGTCTTATTGTCAACAATCCAGTGAAAAGACGAAAACCAACTGTGAAGTGATCCTACCAACAATAACATCTGAGTATCCAAACCCTGATTTATCTTATTCTTCTGTGCCATAGAGCTCCAGTGGTTTTAAAAAACAATTAAATACACATTGTTCCTTCATCACAATGAACACTGTAGTTTATTTATATACACCATGCTGCTGCAAATGTATGGCTGAAAATGGTCCTTAACAAACAAACTTTTTACTTATGTTTGCAAAAATCGAATATATTTAGCCTTTTTTCTTAAAAAGTAAAAATGTATATCTTCAGTAGAAAATAATGGGCTTAGGGCCGAGTATTACAGCAGGGAAGTAGAAAAATATTAAGAGGCACACCAACACAGTGCTTTGTTTTTTATTGCATGGACCTAACTGTGTGGATAATTTTGCTATTTTTGTTTTTTCATGGAATTTGTTGACAATGACAAAAATGATCATTTTAATTTAATTTAAATTACAGGCTACACCAAGCAAAAATATATTTATGTCTTCTTACCAGTTTTGCTTTTGACATCCTCTTCTTTCCCGGAGGGGTCCTTGGTCTTGGACTTCGGTCGTGTGGGAGGGAATCTGGTCGGGGACTCCTGGAGTGTTGAAGCTGGATTTGAAGAGTCTGGAAGATAAAGCAGGACAGCTGACATAAAATCCCAACATATGGCTACCATCATCACACTTCACATCTCTTCATTTTCACTGTTTTGGTTATCACTATGTAGGTGGGGTAATGTCATGTCAGAACGTCCTATTGTAACTATAATGACGTCTGTTGAATCGTTGGTGAATCAAAATCAAAGCAATAACAGTTCTTTGACTATACTGCGCCATTTAGGTGCGTCACAGAAGAGAAAAAATCTCCATTTTCTAACCTAATTAGACCACAAAGAGTTGTGTTCTGAGTCACGAGTGGGACTCTTTTTTTTTTTGACTAGAAACTGACTAATGTTTTCATTTTGTTGCTCATTTATAACTAAATTCAGCCAATTCAAATGTTTCTGTTCTCTCTGTCTGTTTTATGTAACTATGTGATATAGCTTAAGTTAACCCTGCATTGCAAACAGCGAGCGTAGACTTTGGACATGTACCCTTGTATGTTTATGGCATTTACCAGGCAGAGATGGTCTAATAAAAGAACTGCATTATGGGAAGCATTTTTGGAGCTTGGCCCATACTAAGGTCTAATGGTCAGGATTTCTTCTCTCTGCTTGGATTCTTTTCTCTCTATTGCTCCGGTACTTTCTAGAACCCGCTCCCTCTGTGGATAAAACGGCTCATTGTAAGGTAACAAAAACATAACAATTCTTATTTTTAGGTGATTATACAATGTTGAAAACATACCTATAAATATTATATTACATTTTCGGCAATTGATCCTCCTAAATGTTACACACTGGACCTTTGAAGAAACCTGTACTTTATTTGAGTATTTCCATTTTATGCTACTTTATACTTTTACTTATATCATACTTTTTACTCCACTACACTTATGTAATGACAGTTAAGTTACTTTTCACATTAATATTTTACATAAGAAAACTATGATAAGCTTAAAAAATACAACATATTGTAAAGGATTAAACTAGCAGTTTCCTAAATTTTTATGTGTAATTGGTGCCCCTTGTCACATTTCACATTTCAAATATTAGATGTCTATAAGCTGTTAGCAGGTCCACTAAAGAGACATTTTCCCTATAAACTTTCCATTTGGTTTTATTTGAATAACCATTCAAGGCCAGAGGAGTTACAAATATTCAATATTTCACAAAAAAATCCACCCAAAGTCCCAAAAAAATTTCTGTTCTGTTTTTTCTTCTGTCTTCTCTCAATAATCATCTCACATGCGTCTTGTCTTGCCTTTGGAGGGACCCTACCCATAGGTTGAAAACCACTGTAACAAATACTTTTACTCTGCTTTTAATTTGTTACATTTCACTCATAATACTTCTGTACTTTACGTTTAATGGAGTATTTATACAGGTACTTTTTCTTTTACTTAGGTTAAGAATGTGAATACTTTTTACACCACTGCTTTTCTAAATTTCTCACAGACCCTCAGCTTTGGAAGTGCAAAACTAAATTACTGGAGTTCCTGTTTAAGTAGAGCAAGGTGCTGGGATTCATTTAACAACAAGAAATGTATTGCAATAAACTGCAGCTGCAGTCTTTTAAGTTTTATTATCATTAGCATTCATTCACCACTGCTGTTAATTTAATTTCATATCGCATTTAGCATGAATGTACAAATAAATAAATGAATAAACAGAAGGGCCATAATGCTACCAAAACTCTAAACACAAGACTGGAAACGGCAATGATTCCCAAATTGATTGACAGGGTTTTTAATATATGTAGAGATTAACAGGAGATTAAATCTGAGTTATTAATGTTTTCTGTTGCTGTTAAAAGGTTTGTTTACATGTGTTTGTAAACAGCATGAAAACAGCTCCATATTTTCAGTTATGATCAGTTAACACACAAGATGCTGTTTTTTCATCTCCCACTCACACTCTTGAATAATTTATATGAATAATACTTCACATTTCTGAGGTCAAAAAATTACATTTTGGGGCTTTCACTGATTTAGCTTTTAAGGTTTTTTAGCAACTCACACATAAACACAGCATCTGCTTAATTTATCTGATTCTGTGCAGCTTGATAACACACCAAAATACAACACATAGGCCATAGACAGAAGTCCATAATAAATGTTTGTTTCTTCAAATATAAGTTGATAAATAACACCACCATAATATTATGTTGATAGTTTAAGAAATAAATTTAAAAAAGTTTCTGTATGAATATTGTAATATAGAGCGATTTATACACAGGACATTTAAAGTAATGGCAGTGAACACGTTCAGAATCTGCTTTATTAAATCTTAATGTGTGTTTGAAGAACACAAAATGATTTTTTTAAAGGACCACTGGCTATTCTGATGTTAATACAGGGGGGGAAAAAACAGTCTGAATGATCACATGCAAGATAATACTGATGGCCTAAAGCTGCCAGCGGTTTGAATTAGGGATTTGAGATAATTCATGATGGCAATCTCTCTTCAAGAGACTGAATAGATGATCGACATTATCCAACTACTTAATATTTCCAGAGAGAAGGATTATTATTGCATTACAATAATAATAACCAGAATAAACAATTGTTGTTATTGTTCTTTTAGCATTATTTGTCCTATAGTTTTGTCTCCCTCTCATTCATTCATTCAGCCTTAAACACATGCTGGCACACAAACACAAAATACTTACTTTGGCCGACTCTCAGCACCAGCTTCATGGATTTGGTTCTACACAGCCCTCCATTAGTATTATCCAGTCCTTGCAGAGAGCCTGTGGAGGTGGCTGATAGACAGAGACAGGAGGCAAAACATAAAATTATAATTGTTTGCGATTATCATAATGCAAGATGGTCAAGCAATGCATAGTTCTTCCATTATGATTTCTTTGCAGACAGTTTAGCCAGTTGCCAAATGTTGCATCACATGGGGAAGAAAAAGCAGACGCACATAGCACAAACTATAATGTAACATACAGTTTATAGACAATATCACACACAAACACATAAAAAAACATAAAAGATGCTACCAGGGCTGCAACAAATGCTAATTAATTAATTGTTTGGTCTATAAAATGTCACAAGGTCCCATGGGTGACGTCTTCATATAGCTTGTTTTGTCTAATCAACAGGCCAAAATTCAAAGATATTTGCTTCACTATCACATAAGACAAACAAAAGCAGCAAATCCTCATATTTAAGAATCTGGAACCAGAGAAAGTTTTACATGACTTCAACTAATCATTCGATTATCTAAATAGTTGCTTATTAATTTTCTTGTTGAATCGACTAATAGTTTCAGCTCTAGATGCACAAATGGGTTGGGGAAAAAACTGACTAAATAAGTTTTTATTTTAACTAACAAAGCAATTACTAAAACACATATACTGTATACACACAAACACAAACACAAAACACACACACACACACACATCAAGAACTTTTGTTCACCCCTGTCACTCACACACACATAGACTTGTTAGCAGCATTTAGGTCAGATAACAACATCTCACAGGCCACAAGCCACATAGCCATGAAAGCTCCCATCAAATCTGCCTGATGCTGTAAAAGCCTTGTGTGATTTGGGGCATGTAAGCCCTTGGAATCACACTGGCCTGCCAGAGCGAAGTGTGCTGTCAGAGCGCGCGAGGTGGATGAGGCTACATGGTCAGACTTGCTCTCTATCTCATGCATCACTTGCCACTAAGATGCTGGTTTAACCGACAGCGGCCCAATAACGAGGCCACATTTTTTGATTCTCACGCAAACTGACAAATTGAGAGGGAGCCAAGGATGATGGCTTCCTCTCTCAGCCAGGAGGGAAAAAAAGAAAACAGTTGCTAGCATTGATGCAAATGTTCCACCTGTAGGAACCAGCAGCTTGTGTGTCTCTGATTTTTAAGGTGTGCTCATTAAGGACATACATGACTTCACTCAGATATTATATCTGAGGTGAGCGGTTACACACACTGACTCACAGGTGATATAATAGTCCCTCCCCTTGAGGAACTCCAAGCCCCACAGGTTGGGGCTGAACTCCTGGAACTTGAACGTGAACTTTACGTCCCGGTGAGGTTTGTCACAGTTCAGCAAGGGTGTGTCCGTCTTATCGATGGTGCATGTCTCCATCTGACTTCGGGAGACCAGGTAGACTCGGGAGAACTCCTCCGTCCCCCCCGAGGAAGCATCTGCCCGCGGACACACAATGTCCATCTTGTCCCCAATCTGAGGAAACAGGACCAGACCCTGATTTGGACTAAATCTGTGTGTGAGATAAGGGGAGAGACAAGATGATGTTTAAAGCAGAACAGAGTGAGGTGTCACTGTGTCATTCACACTTTGTTTAAACCAATGAACCACAAAAGTGGTGGTAGCTTTAAGAGCTTCTCAACAAGATCTTGAAGTTCTGAGTGCTCTAAAACCTCAGTTTGTTATTATAAATAGTGAAAAATTAAAACAAATCACCTGATGAATCAATTGCAACCATTATGATAATCGATTAATCCTTTGAGTCATTTTTTAAGCAAAAATTCGAAGATCTTAGATAGTAAACTCAATATATGTGGATGTTTATCAAACAAATTATTAATTTAAAGATGATCTTTTGTTGGATGATTTTCACAATTTTCTTTCATTGTATAGATGAAGAAAAATTAAGTGATGAATCGAGAAAAAAATCTGCACATTACTTGATGAAAATAAGTGTTAGTTGCATCATTAATGATTTTTAGTATATAAAACAAACTCTCACTGGAGAAGCTGGAACCAGAGAATATTTAGCATTTTTGCTTTATATATTGTTTCAGCTCTGCATCAAAGCTTTTCATATGAAACATGATTTGTTGTTGTTCCATCTCCTCTGATGAACTTAATTAAGTAGGTCCCATGAAAAGGACACATCAGCATAAAGTTGCATCCTTCCCCGAGTGTGAAACTGATTCACCCACTTACTTTGTGTTGGAGCTACTCCAATGGATGGACTCCAGAGTGACTGCACGACATGAGCAAACGATGGCCAGCAGGATCACGGCACCGCAGTTCCATGTGATTCTCCCCATCACAGGAATAAATCGCAGATCCACAGCGGCTCAGTATCATAAAACAGGGTGGAAACGGGCTAAAATCTGTTGCCTCTGCATGTCTCCGGCGGCTCCAGGTGCGCGCAGAGGACACATTCCGGAGTGAAATCCCACCAAGTTACGAGTCTTCCGCCTGCAGTTGTATGAAATTGTCCACATTGTGCGTAATTCGCTGGAAAATCCTTCGTGTGACGAAATCCGTGTATTGAGGACAGAGATTGTGTGGAGTATTTTAGTCATCAGCTGACTGACCGGTCCGCCCATATACAGGCTCAACAGGGTTGACCGGGGTTGGTTGGCACATTTCTCTCTCGTGTTCTTCGCATTAAGATACTGACATAAATATCAAGATCAACAAAAATGCATTATTATTATTTCATAAAGCTTTTTGAGGCGAATTTAGGGGTTTTTGGTTATATAAATGAAACTGACTTATTAGTCATTAGCTTATGATGTATAAGAGAATTTGTATTTATTTCCCATGAGTTGCTTTTGATAATACAATTTTAATATATGTATTTAAATTATAATTAAAAAAAAACATTATTTCCAGTCTTTGTTTTTGTTTATTGTTGCATCACTGTTGACTGTAATGGGACTGAGCCTTTCCTTATGTATATACAGTGTGTATTGGCTATAGATGTTCTACAACATATTCATGTGGGTCTGCAATCATCTCTTAGAGGATATAATGTGCATCATATACCATGGATCTGTTTCAAATGATTAGTTCTTGTGGCCACTGTTTGTATTGTTGGTATTGTTGGATCAAGGCTGTAGCCAAGGACTCAACATCAGGGGGGACCAAACCTGGCAGGTGGTCTGGGCACCCCTGCCGTTCTAAAGCATTAAGAAAATCAGTAACACATGGGATGAGCTTTTTATTTAATCTTGACAATAATATGAACAGGTCTGTACATTAGGATTAGACTGTTGCAATGTCATTATTTTGTCTTCCATCAATATTTGCTCATTTTTCTTTTTTTTTTCAACACTTTTCACAATCGATAGCCTGCGTGATACTCAAATTATATAAATTTGAAAGTAATGAAATAGAGAGTCAGTACAGTTTTTGAAATTGATTGTACGTTCCCAGAGCAGTTGAGCAACAAGAGGTACCACTTGGACTGACCCCACGAAGAACAGCAGTACACCGTAATACTACTGGTAGTACTAATAATAATGGCAATTTGTTATATCCAGTTATAATTATGATTACATTTTCAAATGATTATTTCATATGACAGTGCTTGCTTTCCTGTTTTAGCATTACAATGTTTGTATTTGTTGCTATGCTCCAAGCACACACAACAACACAACAATTACATTTTAGGTTAAAGGCTTATTCAAGGAAGACACCTAAGTTTTAGTTCTTGTCAATGAAGTAACGAAATGAGGAAGTTTAGAGCAAGAGAGTACAGATTTGATTGGATGTGTACTTTTGTGTCTCCCCCTTTTGGGGGAAAACACTAATGTGGTGATGAATAGAAAGGCGAGTGAAACCTGACTGACTCAGTGATCACCCTAAATGAACCTAGAGGATACACCCTTTAATGGGAGAAAGATAAAGATACTTCCTAGGGCGGAAATTTGCATTTTGACATTTTAGGGGAGAATATTGTACATTTTCCTGCACTACATGTATTTGACTCTTATAATTACTAGTTACCTTTTACATAAAAAACATAGTGTCATATTCTTGTATGTTATGATGTAGTACTATACTACTATACTAATCTAACCAGTATACAAAGTATCTAAAACGACACCAATTTCAATATTAAAATGCTCTTATTCATTAGTAATAAAAACAGAATAATATAATATTCAATATAACATTCTGTAAGAAGCCATTCTGGTATCTTTGTAAACTTCAGGTACATTTTGCTCATAATTCTTTTATTTTTTTCATTCAGAATCAGAAATACTTTATTGATCCTCGGGGGGTAATTTGTTGGTTACAGTTACCCAAGGAGCTCACACAATGTTAACAAATCGTAACAATATTAATATAATAATATAACAATATTACAATATGGAAAAGTATATATATATATATATATATATATATAGAATAGAAATGTATATATAGGTATATACATATGACTAAAAAATAAAAAATGGAAATAGAAATATAATAAGAGCTTAAGTACCTTATGGTAATAAAATATTTGCAATATATACAAAGTAAAGTCAATGTATGCCACAGTATGTGGCCGACATAAATTAAATGATTAATAGCAGTGAGTTTTTAAAGACTGTGGTATTACCGAAGTTGCACCTTAATCAAATTATTGCACATTAACCAGAGACATTTTAAGCTCCAGTTTAATGACTAATGACTCAGAGTTTTGACACTTTAAGACAGGGTTCAGGGTTTTTACTTGTGATGGAGGATTTTTATGACTATGATATTTCTACTTTTATTTAAGTAAAGGATCAGAGTACTTAATCCACCACTGTCTACTTCTAAACATTAGTACATTTACCTGTGACTAAATGAGTTTGGGAAATCCTACACTATTTAAGGAGCTTGATGTTTTATTAGTATGATTTCAATATGGATCAATACATCTAAATATTATCAGATGGATGGGTTGGCAGGGATTTTCTTTAAAATCCTGTATATTCTGCATTTAAGGAGCCAAGGCTGTAATCCCCTCATTTACAGGGAATCTGAACTAATGACAAAGTGGTTTAAAAGATTACACTGGGCTTCTGTCACAAGACTAAAGCACCACAAATGACGGCTGAACTGCACATAAAATGTCTGCATTTCCATCTGGAGCAAACTGTGTTAATATGTGTTCAAATTGCCGGCAACATCTTTTATATCTATAATTCATTAAACTGTGAGTTTTGTTGACATTGCCTACACAGAGAGAGCATGATGTAGAGATGTTTTCTCATGTAAACACGTAATTATACAGGTCTCACGTTTGGTTGAGCTAGAACAAACTTCAGATATACATTCCTCAGATGATTTTGATTGATTTTATTTTCTTGTCATGCACATACATTACAATGTACAAACATAATACAAAAGTCAGGTATCAGTGGAACAGTCTGAATCCTTGTCTGAAGCTTTGCTCAACTAAACAAAAGCAAAAGGCACAAAATATGAATGCAAAAAATATCCAAGTGAATTTCATCACAAATGCATGTTTTTGGTTTGTTTGAGGATAAACTGGCCAGAGGATTTTTCACTAGTTGAACTGTGATTGAGATTTAGTTGTTTTGTGTCTATTCTTTGTCTCTAACTGCTGCCTTTTCAGACACAGTGCAGTTATATCTGCTGGAGCAATTTATTCACAACAGGAAAATTGAGAACAGCAAAAGGAAGATTATGATCTGTCACAATGACTAAATACTGCAATAAAAACCATTATGCAACTTATGTTAAATATCATATTGCTATATCTCCAAAGCATCAGTTGTTAATGAAAACAGATCTGTTTTCAACATTGTGACAATGCATTTATTGTCATGTGGAAGTCAAAGATTTATGAGATATTTAAGTTTTCTTAACACATCATTCAGTTTTTCTTAAAACATAAAAATCACCAACAGTAATTGGACCCTCTGTGTCTTTATAGACACACATTCATTCATTCATTCATTCATACAGAATACTAAAGTGTTCCTTTATGCGATGGTTTAAGAAGTGGTGCCCCAGAAAGCTTTCATACTGTTGCCCAGGTGGGGCCACTGAAAATCTTGGGATGGCACAACAAAACCAAAAGCTGGCTGGCTATACATTTGTTATTATCTTTCCCATGAACTACCAGAAGAGGGCACCCAGTTGAGTGCAGATCTCCACCAGGCAACAGATGGTGAAGTCCCTACTGCCAGCTGCAACCAGCAGAGATTTGCAAAGTTTTGAATAAAACATTTTTAGAGCTGGAAAGGCTTCAGTATCGGTGACACACAGTTGTTGGTCCACTTTTCACGTTGTCTCTGTTTATGCCTTATATTCCTCAGTTGAAAGATGGCTTCAGTGTTGGATGTAGCCGTGGTGGCCGTGGTAATGGCTCTCTGTGAGATCTCCCAGAGTGAAGCTAATGCTAACATGTTAGGTGTCTTGTAATGAACAACCCCTATCACGATTAGCATTAACCTCAACCTGGGACTTGACTTGACGGCTGGTGATCAACCACATGCTTACCTTAGACTGTTGGTGTTCAGGCTGTTGAGGGTGTCCTGCAGGGGGCAACAGACACACTGATTATTGGTTGGTTTAAAAGAGATAATTTATACACGTTAACTGCAGTGTTTCATTCACAAGTAAGCCAGTAACTGAAAGTTGCTGTGACTTTGTGTTAACCTGGATTAAAGTTACAACTGCAAAGATTTTGTAGATTGTATAACAAGGAAACTGCCTGTCAAATTGAATGGAATATTTTAGTTTTTTACTTTTTGTAGGAGAAAAATCTCTTCTGATAGGCATATATTTAAAAAATCCATCTTATCTTCTATCTTAACTCTTACTTGGCCAACAAAATTGTCCCAAAAGAAAACCAAAAATACTGCACTGTATACACACAGAGCTTTTTAAACCCCAGTTCTTTCACTATCTTTCCTGAAACAACTTAGATTTCAAGTTTGCTATAAGACATAATTTAGGCATTTTCTCTTGGCTGCTCTCTTAATACACCGTTCGTTATTCTGAAATAATTGGAAATATGTGTCCTCTAAAGGATCAGTGGTATTAAAGAGTTTAAGAATGCCTTCTGAGGTATCTGTACGAATGTTCAAGTTTTAAAAGATTGTAAAAGTCCTGGTGTCTCCTCTTTATCTATTACCATTAATAAGTTATGAGTTCTAATAGAACGTAACAGGTGCTGTTTTATCTCGGCTTTGGCAGAGAATCAAGATGTTAATCTAAGTTGAGTTGTTGCCAGGAAGTAAGTTTGTGTATGTGTGTGTTTGATGTAATGGTATAGTTACTGACCTGGCTTCCGAGTAAACAACACTTCCTC